AAATCTCTTTATCATTCTGAAGAAAGTCTTAGGCAAGCGCTATTTAAGATTGATTTCTATGTAAAAAGGCCATACTTACAATAATCTGTATCAACTGGAAAAATGAATAAAGAGATATTAGTAAATGTATCAAAATCAGAATCGAAGAAATAAGGAGATTAATTAAAAACAAGATGTTTAAGTAAAACACTGTGCTTCTGTGTTGCAGCTTATGGCGAAGATTTAAGTTTTTTTGCAAGTCATAATCAAAGGTTAAGGTAAAACGGTTGGTATGCAGAGAAAGGTCTTATTTCACAAAGATTACTCCTGTGAGAAATCGTTGTTAAAGTTCAAACCTAATGACCAAGGCTAAATTATTTTTTTTTCTAAGAAGGTAAAACTCTTAAGTCACCGACAAAATGTAAAAATATTGATAACCATTTAAAGTTCTTGTCACAATGCATACCCAAGTGAAGTGTGAAAGCTCTGGCACTAAATGTTCAAAAGCTATGTTCAAGGTTAGAGTTTGACTTTTTTTTGAAAAAGTGAGTGAAACTCCAAGGTGAAGATCAAGAGATAAAATTCAGTTTTACTCGTAGAAAAAGGTTTTGTCACAAGAAATACGAGGGGTGATCAAAAAGTTCGCAAACTAATTGAATAACTTCCATACAAGAAACAATATTTCGTTTTAATGTTGATTATATTTTAAATTAATCCTCTCCGATTCTAATGCACATCAACCACCGTTCTGCGCATGCGCGCATCATGTGATATTGCCGGTCATGTGACCCCCTCCGTAGCGTTCTGTCATAAAAGTTGAAAGATTTTTCCGAGTCTTATATTTCTTTCCATGTGAGTTAATTTTTATGACAAGAACAGTTCGTTTGTCAGAAATGGTCAAATCTCGGCAACAGAATGGGTGGATAAGAATATCCTTTCCAAAAATAAGCATGGCGACCATTAAAACACAAATATTCTGTCTCAGGAGAGACCTTTATTCAAGGTGGATAGAGAATGGGTGCATCCTTTTTATCATATCTAATATGTTTAAAATCTAAAGTAAACGATATCTTAGGTATTTAATACTTATATCATTGTTTAAATATTCAACTATTTTTCAACGTGCTAATTGGAGGTCTTGAATAGCAAATTGCTTAATTAAAAATACATATCTTTTCAAACTTGCTTTCACTGGGCAAGATGACAAGTATTATTTTTAACCATCAGCCTTCCTTCACTAAAACGATTAATCCAGTCATTAATTGAATTTATAGGAACTCATTCATCTCAATAAACTGTGTACAAATTATTATATGATACTGTAGAGGGATTTCTAAGATATACAATAAATTGTTCAGTCGTTTGTTGAACGAGTTCGACTGAAACAACCATTTTTCGTCACAAGTGACCTAACTAGTGACGTTATTTTCACATTGTGACGTCACAAACAAGGAGAGAAACTTTATTCAGCATATGCTATTTATAGAACTTGTGTATGGCCATGTGTGTACCGAATTTCATTCTAATCTTAATTGTGGTTTTGTAAATATAGAGATAGTTTGCGAAATTTTTGATCACCCTCGTACATCCGTGCGATATAAAAGCCATAGTCCAATCCGAACAAGATTTATGTTTTTGCGGACAAAACAGAATACAAAAACTATATACCCCGTATCCTCGATTAAGGGGAAATAAGAACGACCTGAAAACACCTTTGTCACAGGTATCATTAGTCCACCCAGTAGCACACCCTCCAAAACAAGACCCGTTATACTGATCACACAGATACGGTGTTATACAGTGACTGCTGCATCTCTGTGTACAACCACGTCCATAGTAACCAGGACTGCAGGCTACATGGAAAAATGAAATCGTCCAAAAATTATTGCCAATTCATATCTGGATTTTTTCTCTTTGACTTACAATTTGAAATAATAATAAAGGGCGTTAATTAGAACCTTAAAAGTACTATATTAACAAATTTACAGTGCATATAAGATATACAGAATATAGTTTTTAAAAATTAACATAAATCCTTAATTGATTTTTAGGTTTTGTTTACGTATAAAAGTAGAATTTTATATACACGAAATACAAAATGCAGTACTTACCATAATCATGTACATGCAGGCATAGACACGTACATATATATGAAAAAAAAATCAATTTGCTTTTTGCGATCGAAACTTTATTTCTGGCTTTCTCATTTTTTTTCTTAAGAGATGATAAAAAAATCAAGTTGACCCAGTGTCACATTTTCCCCATTTCTTCCTACCATCTAAAAAGATTGTTTTCATCAGCTTTTATTTAAATACTTACCTTGATTGCACCTGCTTAATGTCCAACCATCTGTACAACCGAGTAAGCAGTTCCCGGTCACGTGATGGCAAGTAGCATTGTAACAATGTCCACAACTGGACACACAGTTAGCACCATAGGTACCATTCGAACATACTGTAATATTTTAAGTAAAGGTTTAAAATGAATAAAAGCAAGAATTTATTCTACTTTCACAACAGCATTTCTATATTTCCTTTAAAATTATTTCTAGATATATGTAAATGTGTAATAGTGTGAATATTTACCATTTGTACAGTTTTCACCCCAATAACCAGCTTTGCAAATACAAGAACCGTCAATAGCGTTACATCGATCACAATTTAGAGAACATGGTCTGCAAGGGCTACCGTAATGATTCCAAGGACATCCTTGCCAAACAAAAGATGTCATTGAATTAATGACGCAAGAAATTTTAAAATCAATAGTCAGCAGACTAGTAAAAGGAATAACTGTCTCATTTTAGGGGTTCATGCAAAAACGAAGGTCTTTATGCAAAACTTTATCAAACAATTCAATCGATTGATCATCGTCACGAAACAAAAAAAGTCTGACAGATACTCTTTATACATGTATATACATGCTATTGATTCCGCAAATTTACGTACCACAAAGTTTTGAAATCAGCCGTTATTTTTATTGGTAGAATTGGGTATGTGAGTGCTTAACACAATATTTCATGAAAATATATTAAATTATCTATAATTATGCTTTTTGTGCTCTTGAAGTACTGTAAATCACTTTTTTTTCGAAAAAATTACTTTTGCGTAATTACCTGAAACAGTAAGCTCGAAAAAGTATTCTTTACGATAACATAACGGAATAACAGCAATTCGGGAAAATATTTCTTGCTAATAAAGAGTCAATGCCTATCTAGCGAAAATAACTTGTTGCAAAATTTAGTGATCTAAATGTAAATCAAGACAAAAATTTAACTTTAACAACTATGCTCTACATATACTAGGACTTACCTTAAATTTAATTCAAATGCTTCATCATTGTCTACAAATTTTGAATTAAAAACGCAAGTCCCTGTAATACTGTAAAATCGCACATTTTCATGAAGTGATATTTTATTGTTTGAGGAAAAACTCGTGATTTGATAGGGTGTATGAGGAATTGTTGTGTAGTGATGTAAGATTTTACATTTAATGGTGGACAATGGTCTCTCAAAGACACCGACAAAATTATACCCCACAAAATATGTGATGTGAATTCACATTAAACATGAAATGTTACATGTGTACAGCTCCTTTCAAGTAAATTACATAGCCTTCATTTGAACACTTACCAAAAATTTCTACTTCACAGAAAGAGAGTGAAGAGCTGTTAACTTTTGCGAGGTCGTCAATAGAAAAACTGATTAAAAAATCCAGATTTGTGTAGTAGAGTTGTTTCGGGTACGGTATTTTTATCACAGTTGATGATGAGACAGGTATCTCTTCTTCCCCACTGAGTTTATCTTCTGATGAACAATCTCGACAAATGGTAAATTGGAATATTATACTTCAAGTTCCTGATATAAAATAAATAGGAATATAGAGATATTAAGAAAATTAACATTATGAATTGAGGATGTAAACACCTTAGTATCGAAAACGCATCGGTTTGCAATAAAGATTAAAGAAAATATGCAGGCCCTTTGTACGGTCACTTGGATACCTACACTATTTTTCAATGATGATAATTTGAAAAAATGCAAAGTTAGAGTATCAACAGAAATGAGATACACGCATTATCAAACATTTACTCCTTACCCTTATTATTGAAATAAAACCGTATATCTTTGATGTTCTGAATGGAATCACTCGAGTGTACGTCCAAGTAATACGTCTTTCCAGTCCAAGAAGAAGTAAAATCAATGCAGCTGGGTTGTTCAGTAGATCCATCAAACAAACGATGGGAAGGTAAATAGTATCGAACTGGGTCCAAATAATACAACCAAGTATATATTTGTAAAGCGCCATTTTCATTGCCTGAAAAGGAGCGTTAATTTTTTGATATTTTCTAAAACATTTCTATTTTTTAAACAAATTCAAAAATTCCAGCAGAAATAGTATCAATAATTATTGTTCAATCGGTACAAACAATTTTATGGTCCCTGCCCTTGGGTTCTAAGATCGTGAATACACTTGCAGCTTGTTTCATAAATCAGCAAAATCAAAACAAGTACATGTATCCAGCCAGCATCAACTATTTAAAAAGCAGCAGTATTGCATCAGAATCCGCAAGGGAACGGGTAGTCATGGGCAAGTATAAGTTCTGGTGCAAACATAAAATTAAGCAATTTAGATTCCCATCGTTAAATGTAAAATAAATTAATAATTTTTAAATCATCTTTTAAGGTGCATATACACAGATTTGAAGTTAACATTTTTTATGTAATATTACGACTTATAAACTGTACATTGTAATAACATTTCACACGAAATATATTAAAAATCTTATTTCATCTAGAAGTTGTTGAAAGTTTAAATTTTTGGTTAGGTTTGATCGACACATACTAGCACTTTCACAAATTTTAATTTTATTCTTAATAGTTAAGAAAAGTAGCAAACTTTAATCGTAATTCTCTGGATTATAGTTTTAATATTTTTCATTAATACACTACAAGATTAACATTTTTGAAAGTGCAAGGGTGTGTCAATCAAACCCATTCATAAATTTAAACGTTCAATTACTTTTAGATGAAACGGATTTTTAATATATCTCCATGAGAAATGCTATTACAATATATAAGTCGTGATAGGGATACTTAAGGGGGCCGACTATAGTTTCCATTGCGCAATATTTCGCGCATCTTAGTAAAATGAACCGTATTTACTGTTTTAATGCAACTTTTTAGCTTTATTATTAAAATTAAACAAAGTTCAGAAATTATAGAATTAAAAATGTAATACCAATTTGATATGAATGTTTTTTTTAACCGATTTTGCAATTGATAGATAAGTTGACGTCGTTGCAGTGTGTTTTTGACGTTATGATAATCTGAAAATAAAATCATAGAATAAAAGAATAATATCTATGCAAGGAAAAGGTCGAAGGCATTTCGAATAAATTGTTCATCTTGCGTTCACCGTTCACTTTGCGCTCGCGTTTGCGCCTCGTTCGCGTTCTGCGTTCACTCACCGTTCACCGTTCACGCATCGTTCACCAAGTAGCTTTCAGTGTTCGAACATTTTTCACTCACCGTTTGCTCTGCGTTCGTTAAGCGTTCGTTCACCGTTCAGGTGGGAAAGTAGAACGTTTAAGGGACTGTAACCACTGGATGTTAACTCGTTGAGTGTCGCTAAACTCGTTTATATAATTTTTTCGGAAATTTGGGTTTCCTTTCGGTCCGGTCCTTGTATAAGTGTCAATCTATCACCGAGGTTTTAGGGGTTTAAGTCAAACCAAAGCACGTGACGGCAAGCGCAAAAAATTAGTTTTCTGCAATATTTCATCCCCCTTCCAACAACATCCAATAAAAGGTCATATTTATAATTATGTTCACTAAAAGTGGATTTTGTTGCCATTTTCAGGTAAGCCTTAATCCATATCCACAGCTATAGGTCTAATTGTCTTGATAAAAAAAAACAGTGTCTATTTAATTTATACTTCTCTACATATATTAAAACTAAGGAAAAAAATACGTAGAAACATACTTATGCTACAGTTGGATCCGGTGTACTCTTCTCTGCAGACATAGCAAGCTCCATAGTTAATATCACAAACTTCACAATACTCAGATTTGTCACAGGGCAGACAGTCGTCACCATAGTGGTCAACCGCACATCCTTGTCAAAGGGTTCAAAAAGTAAAACAGTTGTATTTCCCATTGCACAAAGCACAAACATGTCACAAGACGTTAGAAAATCTAGTAAGATGTTGTCTTGAAGTAAAGCAATGGATAATATTTGTAACTCACCATTTATTTCTATTTCACATAAATCGATTTCAATTGTATTTCTAGATGGCTACCATACAAAAAGATAAATAATTGTTCCCGTTCGCTGAACTTCAAACGTAACTGTTTGTGGAATTTCCCTTTTGTAGCTGTCAAGTTCGTAGTAAGGCCAAGTCTGAGTGTAATCGTAACAAAAAATATTTGTTCCATTCGTTGTAAAATTTCCTTCATTAATATAAACATTCATAAAGTATTCATATTTAATCGAAAACTAGTTTGTAAACAGGGTTAATTTTTTGCAATTATAAATTCCCTTTTATTTTGATACAAAAATTTTGATTAATGTAAGAGTGGAAAAGAAATAAATCATTTCGAATTATGAATACATTTCCAGAATTTTACATTCATGCACATTGCAACTGCACATTTCTCTTTCATGTATAAATACACGATACTGAAATATATACCTTTGTATATAAGTCTCGACGATTTAATGGTGTATACATTTTGAAGGTTGATGTGAAATTCAAAATAATCCCCGCTAAAATGTTCACATGTACCAGTTCTATCTCCGTCGGTCAAATTCCCAGCTATTTGGAGGGGTTTGCCCACATATAAGTCTTGATAGCCAGTCACATTTCTTCCAAATGCTAAGTTACCTATGGATAAAAATGAAAAAAAAGCAAAAATAAAAAAAATAGTAAAATTATGAGTTCAATTAAAGGTTAGAATATTTAAAGTTAATAAATAATTTCTGATAGGATAAACTTGGATTCTAAATGGGTTTAAAATATCATGAACATCATCTACTGAAACAGTGATAAAATATCATAAGAGTGAAAAAAGCACATCTCTCAATATCATAGAAATATTTCGGTGCAAGATGTATAGAGACCTGTTCACTATTAGTAATAGAACCTCATCTTAATGGGCAAGAATGTTTACAACTCCTGTACTCGTTCGCTTGGCGCTGTGATTAGATCAGCATCTGCTCTAGAATTGCTGAGTTAGGAGAAGTCGCGGGTTTGAATCCCACTTCGGGAGGTGATCCATATCGGTCCTTTGGATGTGACCTTATAAACCAAGGTCCGGTGTCTCAGTAAATGCTGGCACGAAATAGACGCCTTACTACTCAGTGGCTCTAAGTGCCGAGAATAGGACAGAATTTGCAGCTCTCCAACGGCAAGTGGTGGCGTCGCCATATGAGTGAAAAGCTCTCGAAACAAACGAATCTTATAAAAAAACAGATTTGTTCAATAATCGCTTACTACCCAGGACCGGAGAAAATTTTACGCTTATAAAGAAAATGTCACTGTTTAGATGTTTCTGTGAAATTTTGTACATGAATCATACATGTGCACAGTTATCAAAAGAACTTCAGACAATGAAAGAATGCACGTATTTAACAAATGCAATTAAAAGTATAATAAATGATGCAAAGAAAAATAAGGGTTTCAATGACATAAAACTTATTTGAAAAAAAATCTTTTGAAAAAATATTTTTATAATAACAATATACATGTACAAGGAGATAATTATTTTGTTTGAGTTCTCTAACATCACGGTTCGATGTCCGACTGACAATGGTTTTCGTGGGGTCAATTTTTTTTTGTTACACTCAACTACATGCAATATTTATAGTATTATACTGAATGTTTTATAAAAATGCATGTAACAGTGAACCGTGCGCGCATATACTGCGCAGTCGCTAATTTTTTAGAATATCACCCGTCGTCAAGCACTGTTCACTGTTGCTACGCTGGAGGGAGTGGCTTCATTATTCAGCGGTTAATAGTATTTTTAACAAATGTTTCTCGACCAATCAGGTTCAACTAATTTACATGAAAGCATAATATTCACAAATATTAACGTGCGAGTACCCATTATTGCCGAGTACCCATTATTGCCGATTTTCGATTTTACGTTTAAAAATCTGTAAAACGGTAGTTATTTGTAATTTTTTCGCAAGATACATAAATTGCACATTTTTTTCAAACCACCAATCGTCTCGGAAAAAGAAAAAGTTGTTTGGGATTAATAAACTCACCGGTGATTTTTCAAGTCTTTGAAAACACACAAAAAAGCAGTCGTGCGACAGGACATGCATATAGAATTTTCGACTAGAATTCCACTTTCCTGACAGAATCAGTCATGTTTTGGTGAAAATCGAATGAATATTTTCCTGTATGCATCGATACTAAACGAAATTATCCAAGATAATATTTCTACTTGCAGTATTTCACGAAAATTACAATGAGTACCGTCAGTTTGAAGCGCCTGCAGTACGACGCCATTTTTTTTAACCGGGGAGCGGATCAAAATCCATCACACGCACCTGTTCTTAATAATTCTGCAATTAGGTTATTTTTATCGATTTATATTTGCGCATATCGCCTCAAAATTATATGGACAACTTGTTAAATCAAAATAACAAGGTGGAATTGTCTTATCTATTTATTTTTTTAATAAAAAAAAATCTATAAATGGGAATATGAGGAAAAAAATACACAAATTCTGTTGACATGAGAGTACAAAGATATATCCTGGATTCATCCTTGGAGAAACAATATACTCACTTTACATGTATAATAACTTGCTCTAATTTTTTTCTTCTTCAAGAAATCACACAAAATAAATATTATGAAAAATGAGGTTCTATTGAGGATGGGGAGCGGCGCAAGCTACTTTCCTTCAAAGATGCTTTTTAAATCTCCAAGTCATTTCATAGCTACAAAAATTGGAAACTGAAACCCTGGAAGACCTTGAAGGGTTGAAAGCCAGTTAGCCTCTAGTCATACCTTATTATTGAACAAAATTCTTTCAAATAATAAATACCAGGGTTACCCCTAGCTGTTGGCATACTGCAGTATTTATTGAACTTTTATGTAGTTATATAATCTATAAATATACAGTGACAAATGTACATGTACATGTTTTATAATATAATTTAAGAAAACCACTTTAGAAAATTAAAATGCTTTGATTCTTTTTTTTTTTATTTTATTTTTTGTTATTTGCGACTTGTGAAAAAGAAGCAATGTAGGTAACAAGATAACACCCACCCTAATGGATTACAGAGTACATTAAAATTGAAGTTAAGCAAAGTCAAAATATTGTTTACAGTTTTTAAAATTAGTAATTACCTGGAAATCAAATGTAAACAATGCAATTTTCACTAACAGTCTGCTTCTGAAAGGGGGGGGGGGGGGATAAATTGTTTACTAAAATAAATAAAAAAAAAACCATGCATTGCCAAATATTTAGATTTTTTTAAAAACTGGAAGACATAGGGGAAAAAATACCAAACCAAAAAATTATTTTTGCATTGCAATCTAATTTTTCTTAGTGGAATTAATGGGTTTTTTCATTTAATATTAAAGAAGAAAGAATTCATGTTCAACTGAAGATTCCCTAGCTGTGTAGAATGCAGAAGAATTAGAAATACTTGACTGTATTTAAAATTTTTATGGCTTATGATAGATATAAAAATTTTACTTACTGAGCTTAATCTAAGTGGAATGTAATTAGTTCAAAAACATGTTTTTCCTTAGTACTAACAGAAAAGACAAGGAAAAAAACATGCTAGAAGTGTTTCATTTACAAGCTACATCAACATACATGTGTGTAACAGAAAATATTCAAATTCAACTCGTATGTTAATTAGGGAATTAATATAATAGCTACCCATTTTATACGGTATAAACTGGGTTGGGGCAGTTTACGCTTTATAAACCGCGAAGCGGTTTATAAAAAAGAGTAAACTGTTCCAACCCAGTTTATACCGTATAACATGGGTAGCTATTAAATTCACTCCTTATAATTTAATTTTCATTCAATTGATGTAAGAAAAAAAAAATTATTGTTCTAACAAAATGACTTCAATTTGTACAAAATTTGAATGTAACGTCAGGGGGATTGATACGTTTTTGACGCAAGTCATTTTATACGATTTAAAGTAAATTTTTTATCCAATCAAATACAACGTTACAACCAGAATTAAATTATTGATACATGAAAATAATTTTTGTTGAATTGACATAGATTGTAAATGCCTAAACCTAAATTGCAAAATGATACTTGTATATCTGTACATCAACAATCTAAGGTACCTTCGGCTAGTATTAACATTCAAATATTTCCAACTCGTACATCTGTCTTTGTGTCTGACGCTACGGAGGTCCAATATGCATATATATCTTATGCGGCTGTTTTTGTGTTTGACGTCAATAGGTGGGGGCTATTGAAATTGACACGGGTGGCCTCGTGTAATTTGAATCTATTTGTTTATATTTTTAAAATCTAAATTTACAGTTTTATTTCACAATGAAAAGGAAATATAATGAATCACTGTCTTCTTAGTTAGCTTCACTCGTTATGCAAATTATCCCACATTTTGAACTATCCTTGATGTCCTAGCATATACTCTACTAACTTGACAGTTATTCCTTAAATAACTTTTGAAACTGACTGCCTAAATTTTCTATACAATGGACACATAAATACTTTTCACAATTTTATAATCAAAATGATTTCAATCACATAGCCTTAAACTTTTAGATGTACAGTTTACATTTGCAACTTTTTGACTATTCAGTGTATATTCATGGAAACATTTTTTAGTCTATTAACTGAAAATAGAGAAAAGTTTCTTCTATTTAAAGTTACAACATTTCTTTACATACTCCTATATTTTTGAATTTTTCACATAAAACTGCCAAGCGTTAGTTTAGCAGCCATAGACAGAGGTCTGTATGACATTCAACTACTTCGAAGATCTTCAGATACTGTTGTCAACCATTTCATTGGTCATTGGCAAGGCAGTGTGAGGACAAGTGCTTGATATGTGCCTAAAAATACAAAATAGATTTGGGATTTAGAACAGTATAAATCTAAAATAAATAAACAAACAAATAATTTATTTTTATTTGAATAATGATTAGAGTTATAAAAATTCCAATTTTTTATATTGCTAAAATTATTTCGAACATTAACTTTACATACTGAAGATTAATTAGTTGTTCAGAACTTTAAATATCTTTAAACACAATTGTAACAGAAAATAAAAATCCACAACTTGACAGATTCACAAAACCTTTCTCAGTTAATATTATACAGTAATATGGACTTCATAAAGGTCAGTATGTGGTTATAAGGACTCATGGCAAGTGATATTGACGGAAAACAAAGGATGTCATAATTATTGTTTAAATGGTACCGTTATACCTTTGCACATCTCTCGTCTTCCTTAAAGAGGCTCCTTTTGACAGTCACAACATACTCTGCCATCTTGTGCCTTTATTCTGGAAAGCACCAACTAGTCTTATGACACTGGTCTTATTCCGAAAACTTCTGAATTCACATGAAAAGGACCTTCAACAAATATAAAGAATCATGATAAATTCTTGAACACAAATAAAGTAAAAAGTTATACCTTCACTGATTCCATATATATGTTACTCTCACTTGCTAAGTTTATTTTCTTCAAGATTGATAGTTTCTTAAAGATTTCCTTCATTGGATTTAATTAGTTGCATAATGGTTGGGATGGGGGAGAGGTCTTAGTGATTTGTTTCATAAAATTATGGAAAATTTTACTTAATTCAACAACATTTCATATTAGTTATTATTTTTAATAACATCCAAGTAACATAACCTCGCTGAAGAAATGACACCACAATACAAAACCTCCAAACTTGCAGTCCGGGTGCATCATATCAGGTGCAGGTGCGTGGGGGTGGGCTAGGATTTTATTTTCTACATATATTTAATGTACATGAAAAACATAGTATCAATACTTCTTATTATTAAAAAAAAATACCAAGATGACACTGACCAATGACATCCGTTTACTGCCATCGATGTGGAAGTACGCCATGGGGCTCAAGCCTCTCGGCTTAACCACGGAGCCCCGCCCACCATGTTGGAAGGAATATTTGAAGGCTGGTACACAAACAAAATATACGCAAAAACTGGTTAAAAAGTGTTTGCAAAAGCTCTGCAGCCAATGAGACATATACTTCTCTTTCTCTTATCTGTCATTACACTGCGTTCACTTGGAAAAATAGCGCTGCGGACATTGTCAGTTCCGATAAAGCTGCAAAGCACATGTTTCTCCATGTTTATTTTTGCGCACGAGGTCGTAGCAACATCGAAAAAAAAATAGGTCACCAAAAATTAAAATAAAACATTAAAATTGCGTTTCTAATAAAATAATTTTACATTGGAGACATTTTTCTGTCTTCTTATGTCATGAATTTAAAAATTGTTGGTTTATTTAGCATTTAGTTGGTGAATAATGTTGAAAAGATATAAGCGGCAATAATGGGTACTCTACTTCCTGTTTATCCAAGGTCATGGAGATGAACTTGTTTCAAATGAAAAATATATCTCATGTTAATTGAATGAACATTGCAGAGATACATAAAGAAATTATTTTAAATAAACTTATATTTTGGATATGACAAAGAAAAATGTGAAATTTTTCGGCAAACCCTAATGGGTACTCGCACGTTACATTCATTTCTTAAAACTTTCAAAAATTTTCTACTTGATATTTAATCCTCTCCGTCAATATATGGCTAAAATACTGCCAGAAAGTAATACACGATCAATCGGTCCTAAATCTGAGTGTGTCTATTTCAAATGGACCTAAGGGCTTTGTTACTTTTCTGCTGCTTTTTATTTTCATATTTGAATATTAAAATAATTTTTCCGTATATTTTTAAATCACTTAAAAACCTAATGCCGTTATTCCAAAAATATGCCATGAAAAGAGGCAGAAATATATTACAAAATTGCACATACTGCCACTGTTCTTTTGAAGAAAATATCAGGTTACATGCATTGATTCTGTTTTAAAAGACTGAACCAGGAAGAATTCTATTGGCATTTAAAACGCTGTTTATACACTGGTTATAGAAAAATGCACATATACATGTATCTTAATAGAGAATAACTCAAGGTTATAGATAGCTAGCTTTAATTTGCAAGTCATATTTTGACGCCTTGTGTAATTTGGCTTCGGGATCATGACACAAACTTAGACTTCAGTCAAGTTTTCAAAAGCATGCAATTTTGATCTGCTTTACCTACTCAACATTAAAGTTTAATATAAAGATTTTGACTTAAGCTTCGTATGTTTTTATGATCCCCGGGCCTGACTTCCAGGTAATTTATAAAAAAATAATAGCATTTAGCGGTCAAAATAGTTGATTGAATTTCAAGTATCTAGTGTACTTGCCGATAATTAAAAACAATCCTTCTAAAATTTTCTTCCAGGGACAGAAATTGCCATTTCTTTCGTAAACATGTTTAACTAACTGGTTACAATTTATGTACACATGTACATGTATTTTCAAATACTTTGTAAACAAGAGTTTCTTTGGCAATAACATAACCTGAGTGACTTGGTCCTATTTTTAAATCAAGTAACTTTGCAATAATTGGAAATTAAATCCTCTGAATAATCTGCCGCCTACAGAATTGTTTGCCTGAACTGTCAAACATGTTTGTAAACAATTTACTCTGGTATGGAAACATGTATGGTTCCTGTTACAATAATTCATCTGTTACTGTTGATTTTAGTTGAATCTGGATGAAATAAAACCAAATGTAAAGATGGAGATTTTTTTTTAACTTGGATTAATATTATTGACGTTTGAAGGTACATGTAGGACACAATAGATAGGCAAAATTTTCCCTCAAATTTAATTTTTCTGAAAATTTGATATTTTTTTCTAGGATACAAAATCTATCTTTATACATAATATGAAAGAAGGATATGGAGATAACGAACAGTATTCAATTAGAGCAGAGCAAAAACGGATCCCCGAAGCATCAGAGGTGTGATCAGGTGCCATTGAGGAGTGAGCATTACCTACCCAACAGTCACACCCGCCATGTGTGCTCCTTGTCATGATCGTAAAACAGAAAAAATCTGTCGTCAATTCAGTGTATAAATAATGGACTAACTCTTGGTATGAAAAACAATGTCAGTCAGCATTTGACTCAATGATCAACAGTATTTGCTGACAAGGTCATTGTATCGACCATAGAACTTACGAAATGATGACTTTAAACAAGACTGCTGATATTCTTGTTTCGTTAACTTGCTTGTCAATAATATACCTTGCTTTAGAAATTGTTCATAAGACGTAGAGCATGCTATTGCGTATTGAATCAACTGAGATATATATATACTCCGTAAGGAAAGAAAATCAACCATATATGTTTTGCCCACATCGTATGAAAATTGGCCTATCAGACCCCCGTAGGATTGTGAAATCAGAGATTCAACTTAAAAATGAACCTTATTTTAAAATTTCAATTGATCCATTGCAAAGGATGACTGCACTTAAGGAAACTTAGAAATTGCGACATAATTAATTTTAAAACTGGGCAATTTTCTTTTATTGGTAGAAATGGTCAATGTCTTAACTGCAACTTTGTGTAATTACGTTAATTATAAGTTCGTATTAACGAAGTTCGAAGTCGTTTTTATAGGAAGGGGTCATCGCATATGTTGAAATCTCCATAGGATAATGAGTACGCCCACCTTTTTACAGGCTTAATACATAGTCAGCGCATGTTTGTCTATTGTTCTCCTTTTTATGGTAGTTGTTTATTTATATGTATTACCTCATATTAAAAGGAGATCAATAGACAAACATGTGCTCATGGTTTAAAAGAGAAAAAAACTGTTTTAATTCAGATCGTCGAGTAATATTATAAACTTATTATTATTAATAACATGAATAAAACACATTGAATTCTGAATAATTATTGTATGTATATTTCAATTACAATGTATCATTCAAAAGTTACCAAATAAACTATGCAACGTTTTAATGTGGGTAATGAGCCCCATACTTAAGATCCCGTAGTTGCTATTTCGTAAATGTTCAACCAATCCCGAGGACAGTGATTAAAAAAATATATTGTGTGACAAATTCAGTTAATAAATTGAAAAGTATAGTATACTAGTATAAGTTTGCTATTTCATCAGAGTTTACAATATTACTCGACGATCTGAATTAAAATATTGTAGAACACTGATGAAGGAAAAGCCTAGTTACTCATCCAATTCAGAACTACTTTAAATCTTAAGGTGCTGTAAACAAAATTTTAAAAAAAAAAAAAAAAACGTCATTTTAAACTAACGAGTTTGTATTATTTTTTTTTTTCATTTCATAATTGCTATTTATGGTTTCAATACTTTTTGTCCATTATCGATAGTGAAGTAGAAGTTTACAATATTACTCGACGATCTGAATTAAAATATTGTAGAACACTGATGAAGGAAAAGCCTAGGTAATCATCCAATTCAGAACTATTTTAAATCGTAAGGTGCTGTAAACTATAAATGTTATTAATAAAACGTCATTTTAAACTAACGAGTTTGTAATATTTTTTCATTTCATAATTGCTATTTATGGTTTCCATACTCTTTGTCCATTATCGATAGTGCAGTAGAAGTTCATCCAACCGAAAATGTCCAATACAGACAAGGAAGTATAATTAGCGTCTTTGAGAGGTTTTTATAGCTTTTCATGCGTACATGTAATAAATGAACCTTTAGATTTCAATCAAGCTCTTTAAATATTTAATATGAACACGCCTTTGTTATGCCATTGTGTAAATTGATTATAAAATGGGATATTTCCCCTTTTGGTCTAAAATATATCTCTTGCAATCATTCAAGTTCTTTCAATAACTTCATATATGCTGTCTTGGGATATATGGTCGAAATCTAGTCCATCGAATTATATTAATCACAAAACTTCGATTACAATAACCAGAAATCTCTGTCGAGACTGTAACTCTACCGGTAAGTAGTTACATTGTATAATTAGGGAGGATAAATGTAGCAATAGGGACTTAAAACATACAACAGGAATAAAAATATTAATGATCATTGATTAATTCTCCTTCTGGCAAGATTGCAAATAGACTAATAATGTAGAAGTAACCCTGAATAAAATTTTACAGAAATTAAATTTTAGTACGATGTACCATGACAACACCATTCATCAATATATGTTAAAAAAACAAAACAAAAAAAAGACAATTATGTATCTCAGTGCAGTGTAATTGAATCCCCAACATATATTATAATAAGACTGAATATATTTTAGGAAAAGCATTTCAGGGGAATTCCACAATATTTTTCTTTTAGTAACCAGGGCAACAGCGTTCATCGAAAATCAATAACCGATACATGGATATACATGTATGTGTCTTAGTAAAGTCAATCTGAAATCAGAATGAAACTGAGGAGGAGTAGCATTTGGAAAGTATTTTGCAGAAATATCTATTTTTAGTAACCATGGCAACACCGTTCATCGAAATCAAAAACCGATAACCAAAATTATGTATCTTAGTGTAGTCTACTTGTTTGCTGTGGAGGAACACAAGAAAGTACCATGTTTCTATTGTCCGAGGGGACACACAGAGTATCAGACGTTTTGATTGAGGGGGTGCATAAAATACCTATGATTTCTATAGTATACTTTACATCGGCAAAATATATTGCATACTTTAGCTATATATCGACAATTTGTAAATATCATTCGAAGACATGAAAAACGAAAGAAAACATTAAATTCAGTATATCACAGTCATCCTGCTTTATTAAATAAAAACATTGATTGCGGACATCTTTAAATTATGTTACGGTCATCATTGAAAAGATTATACTACATATCTATTTTCTTAGGTAAGTTTCAGCAGAATTTACACAGATATGCTAACAAAATATTTTAAAGCTTGAATGAAATATTTCAAGCGCTCGGCTGGGCCGACATGTTTTGGAGATCGCATACTATATATTACGGTCATTGACTTCCCTACTGTTCTCAAGGACAAACCAGTTGTGTTCGGTAAGGACATCGTAATCGGCTAATCGCTAATATGATTGAATCGGACTCTCAAAGGCGGTTACGTAAATTATAAAAAAGAAAGCTTAAGTATGTTGAGAAACCTTATGTTATAACATGTTTTTTTTTTATCAGATATTGTTTTATTGGTACAAATGATACAAATGGTGGAAAATGTAAATTTTTAAAAATTTCAAAATAAAAAAGGGAAATACTTTGGAATAACCATCTTTTATCGGATATTGAGGCTATTATTAGAAACAATCATGCAATAAAAATCAAATATACTTCTTAGGTGTAGAGGTGCTCTATAGCATTGAAAGCCTTTAAATGTTAACAACTCTATGGCAATATTCTTATGCACAAAAAGTGTATATATTTATGATATATCATTTCGATTAATCATATCTATGGAGTTTATATTCACATACCCCCTTAAAACAATGTCCATATGCACGTAATTTATTTTTTTTATCTTACAGTTTACCTTTTAAATCTATTTTTTAAATGTAGCAAAGTTTCAACTTTCAAACAGAAATCCTCTTTACATCAGGAAAAAAACCCGACATACACGAAACAATTATCAAGTTTTACAAAATATTTAGTGTTTATTGAACCAGTTTTATTTTGTTTGTAAATATCGTGTGGTCTCATGCTCTATATCTAAGGGTTAATTATTGATCCTTATGTCGTTGGTTCCAATTTCTCATTTGATCATTTAGAAGTCCACTTTAACATTGCATGCCTTTGTATTTAAACAGCTCCATGACGATATCCCAATGCACGTACAATGTAATCTTTGCACAAAACAATTTTCAAATTTTAGAAAATATTTTACATTTGAACATCATCAATAAACTATTTATATTGCCTCTTAAGGCAGCTTCAAAGTAAATAATATATACAAATTAAGTAAGTTTTACCTATAAGAATAAGTAAACTATTAGAACAGGTTAATTTCTATCTATGTGCAATAGAGTATGAAGTTAAATGTTGTCAATATCTTTGATATTTATTGGCGTCCACATGACGAGATCCGCCACTAGATTTGAAGTGATGCAGAGGTGAGTGCGCAACGTAGTAATTTCTGTTGTAGGATGAGGACGAGTTGGCATTGTACTGAGAATCTCTGTTTTGTTTTCCCGCCAATGCAAGGTCTCTCCAGTCTCTGATTGGTCCATCGTCTTCCTGTTGTTTTTGGTGTTGTTTATTCCTATGTAATTATTAGATAAAACAAGTTTGTGACTGAATAGTTATACGTGTGTCAAAACAGTCTTTACTGATTAAACACTTGACAGTAATTGAAAGAAGTTTTTATATGAAAGTTTGTTTGAAAATGATGAAGATAGCCTGTAACTGAGGCAAACATATACGAAAGACTTTTTATACAATTCATTAAATGTTAGCTGTTTTTCTCATCGTTCAATCACAATGCGTAATAAAATTTCCAGCCAACCCCCTCAAAATTAAAAAAAAATGAATACTCACGATTTACTACATTTTTTGGCTACAAGTCCTATGATTATCATTATCAATACTATTCCAACAATAGAAGCCGAGGCTCCAACGATCAAATGAGTGTTTGTCACTTTTGACTGAGTCGATTCTTCTACGGTATCTTTTGCATTAGATGATGTAGTAGTGCCCACAGGTTCATTGGATGTTTCTGTTGATTTCGAAGTTGATGTACTAAGGCTTGGTTTAGGCTCACTAGTTGTTGTAGCTGGAGATGTATCTTCTTTCGCAGTTGTTTTGCCGTCAGTACTTATTATTGATGTTGTTGTTGATTCGGAAGGTGATAATGTTTCTGAGTTTCTTGTAGTTGTCGTCGTCACTGTAGATGTTGTTTTTGTAGTTGATGACGATGTGATTGGTTGAAAAGTTGTTAAGCTTTCAGTTGTTGTTTCTTTGTTTGTTGAAGTTGATGACAATGTGATTAGCTCAGTAGTTGTTAAGCTTTCAGTTGTTGTTTCTTTGTTTGTAGAAGTTGATGGTGATGTGATTGGTTCAGTAGTTGTTAAGCTTTCAGTTGATGTTTCTTGGTTTGTTGTAGTTGGCGGGTTCGTAGTGAATGTTTGTGTTGTTTCCAGTGTCGTTGATGCCCATGTTGTTGGATTGGATGATGATTCAGTTGTTGATATCACTGTAGTTGTATCTGCAGGAGAGGTTGTTACATCTTCCGATATCTCTGCTGACTCAGTTGATATTGTTATTGTCGATTCTAATGTTGTTGATTCAAAAGAAGAAGAATCTAAAGTTGTGACCTTGTTTTCTACACTTGTAACTGGAGAGGTTGTTACTGTATATGTTGTTTCGTCTTGTTCAACAATCGTTATAGAACTTGAAGTCTCTTCCATTTGTTCTGTTGAGCTACTCAATGTGAATTCCGTTTCAGTGACAACCATTGTTGTTGTCATACTTTCTGTTGTTGTTTGTCCACACGCTGCATAGATAAAAAAAAACAATTTATAATATTAAACTGTAGTACATGTACTGTCAATGATGGAAATCAGATGACATTCAAAATTATATAATGCAAAGGGAAATATAAAGAATAACGTTTCATTATGAAAGTTTGACACTTGCATTCGTTTTCTGTCCAGTTGAATTTATCATTCGTCGCATTGCAGTAAAGACACTCGTTAGTTGAACTATTCTGCATGGGGCTAATGCATGTACTATCGATGTAACAGAAATTATCCTGCAAATAATATATAAACAAGATTTATTTCGTTTTGAAGAATCCAGTATGCAAGGTCATATAGACTTTTCAAATCGCTAGAGGAACTAATATTAATGGTTTTACAGAGATGATAGATAAATGCTAGATACAGAGAGAGAGAGAGAGAGATAATAACTCGTACCTTTAAGGTGAAATAAACATTCCCTGACTCGTTGTGGTACTCCTGACAGTGAGATTGGAATATAATAACATTATACGTGTCTGTATAACGTACTCCATCATTCGAGATGTTGAACTTTATTTCGGTCGTCCAGATGTCAGTTGTATCGTATGGAAGCGGACAGAATCCCTCAAAAAGTGTTCTCTCTTGTAAATTCATCTGTCTTTCCTCTCTTTCTTCCGTTTGGTTAATCTTGGTCTGAAAATAAAATAAAAAAAAGTTGCAGAAAAAGAATAAGATGCTATTATTTAGTTGTAAGAACACGTACATTAACACTGAAGGGTTGATTGTATGCTATTTTACACCCCATTTGAAATATATCCCATTTTTAACTTTTAAAAATCACCACCATAGAGCTTTGACGAACTTCAAGTATGTAGGTTTACTCGGCCATTGAGTAAGGTATCATAATCGAGTTAACTCCTACCATATCAAATGAACTTGTCTTCTCAGGTCGCATTCAAGAGACAAGCAACTTTCAATTTAAAGTATACATGTAAAACATTTGACGAATGAAGGACACTTCATTTATGCATTATCTTAGGTATGTTGCGACCGCAGTTTGAATCGATGACTGTCCTATAACTTTGCGAGACATCTACATATTGAACGTCTTCAATATACAAATGACAATTAGAAGTACCTGTTTCACAGTAAGATAGCATATTGAGTCCATGTTTTCAAAGAAATATTTTCCCATAATTGTTGCCTCTTTACAGGTTTTAGAGGACAGATCACACAGTCCGGCCCCGGGAACACTTGTTATTGTAGGAGGTGCGAGCAAATCAAAGGAACAGTCGCTCCCCCCAAATCCAGTATCACAGGAGCAGTTACCTTAAAATAAAGATAGGGTAAACGTTGTCCACATCTGAGACGATCGTCATGAAAACGATGACTATGAAGTCATTGTAACATAAAAAACTTTTATATTTCTAAATTTTAAAAAGTCTTGAATTTATTTAATCTCATTTTTTATCCGTTGGATTTTGTAGATTCCTTTTTTTAAATAAGAAGATAAGCAAACACAGTTTCTTTACTCGTCTGGTATAATAAATGGCGTACCACCATTACAAGTGCCATGTCCGGTGCAATTGCTTGGACAGAGGTTTTGTATTGTATACGTTACTTCCGGTTCTGCCTCTTGCAGTGTGGCATTTAAAAGCACAAAAGTAGAACATTGCTGTAGGGCGGCTTCAACGTGAATCTGTGTTAGGTTATCATCGCCTGTCATCTGAAAACAGCAGCTTTTATAGTGTAACATTTCACTGTTCTATTCAAACTTCTTCAATGCATAAAAAGGACACAAAATGATTGATATAAGAAGATAAGATACTGCAATATATGCCCAAATTTCCAATATTGTTTTTCTAATTAACCTACTCTTATGTCTTCAATGCAGTTGGACAAGGTTACGTTACTAAGGTCAGTCACATGTTGTTGACAGGTGTTGTATTCAGGTGAATTTTCAAAAGCCTGGAGACAAACTCTCTCAGAGTATTCAGTGGTCTGTGCGTAGGAAATCGTACGTTTCTTTCTCTGACATTGTTAAATATATAACATCTTATCAATATAATACTACCATCAGTTTTTCACAGAAGATCGTAACTTTATTTCAATAGAATATTAGAATCAAATTTAATATTTTGACATGTAAACATAATAAATGTTTTCATGACGTTAATAACTTTAAAATACGAGGGCCGTTCAAAATTTACGCGGACTTGTTGCACAGAAAAAATATTTGACAACATAATCGGGCAAATTGTCACACATAATATAAAAGAATCTTTACTTATATGGTCTTCAAAATTTCATATCAAAATGTTGTAAATTGGTATCAATTTTGAAAGATTTTTCAGGACATATCATTAAGTCACGGAACAGCAAAATTTCGACGTCACTTGCATTAAAACAAAATATGTGATTGAGCTTTCATTTTCTTAACATTTTCCCAAGAGTACCTGTACAGTTTGAGTTACCTTATCAACTCAACATCCAAACACCATTTTTTGTCAAACTTAAAATCTATTAAACAAGTAAATAATATTCTTTTTTGTTTTAAAACCAAAAACAACAGGTATTAATGAGATATAGTGTGATATTGGTGACTCTCAATCACGTTCTTTACAGTCCGGATAAAGGTTTCGTCGATAATCTTCTTCCCGTCCTCCAGTATACTACCGTATGTCCTTTTTACAGAGGTCTAACGTTCTAAAATTTCAATTTGCTATTTGTGGACGAATGTCACGAATACCCTAGTTAATTACATGTTTTAATATGCATATTTTGGATCTATGTTGGTGATATCTCGAGCATTACACATAATTTAATAAAAGTGTGGTGCGCCGTCAATTCAGGAGACGTCATTTTCACAGTCGTTTTTACGGGAATCACATCAGAGAAAACTCACTATATTTCTGTAAGTACTTCAAATATCACGTCAGAAATCTAAATACATAATAATGGAACAATTGAAAGATACATTTGAGAAAATTGTCGAAAAATATCACGAATTATAGAAAATTAATGAGTTAAATTTTTGATACCGCACGCTTTTGCTTCAGATTTTTTGTCGTGCTCCGTACCTCTCCATCAGCGATATCAACATACCGATAATTTTAGTTAAATATTTTAAAAATACAAAAATTTTGCCAAAAATTTATTGGAATCTTTAAAGATACATATTTCTGTGAAATTTCAGAACTATATGACGTCTCTAAGAGTAGATAATAGCACAGTCCGCGTAATTTTTGAACGGCCCTCGTATTTTAACGTGTAATGGGGAAAAAGATTTAAAAATTAATTGCATACAAGTAAAGGATCCTTTTCCATCGACATATCGGAAACATCCCGTTTTCGTCTTCTGTTCTGTACAAGATCTACATTACATTCGTACTGTTTGCCTCGGTTTGAGTTGCAGGGTGTAAAAGTGTTGTAGGAGCACTGTGTTTTACCGCTCTCGGTGCATGCGCAGTGAGGTACTAGAATCGATGACACTGATTGCAAACTGTTATAAACTAAGACGTTACCACTGAAGAGATTTTCGTTGTCTGGAATCCTACATACAAAGGAAATGGTAAACAAATTTTAGTTGACATCGGATCAATCACGTTATATTACTATTTTTCATAAACGTGGATCCTTAAACTTACATCCATGACCTAGAGAAGTCATTAGGATAACTCAAATTGATGTCATCTGTAAAAGAACTATTTCGTCTCCTGAAGTCGTTTTCCCTAACACCATCAAAGTATCCACATAAACCGTCAGCATTTCCTATATCCATTGCAGAGGGGAGCATCTCCAGGTCGATGTTATAATGTCCACTCCATTCCATGATATAGATAGCAAGTGACGTACCAGTGGGGAAATATATCTTGAAATGCATGAATAAAATTTTTGCATTAAAAAAGCTACGAAAACATACATAGAAATCTATCAACCTTATTGATGTCGAAACTGGACTTAATTAACACATTTTTTTGGTACAGGGTCCTGGACCCTTTCAATTGGGAATATTAAACCAAAATAGGAAAACTTTGGAAAAATTTATGTTTAATATCAGGTTTTCTCGATGAATAGAGTTTAAATGAAAGTCACATGCTATTCAAAATTTAATGAATTAGTAAAATTTCAAAATTCAACTTTTTTCTACCATAAAACACTGGAAATTTAAATCTGTTTGTTATTTGGGAATTTTTTAGCCACATTCTGGGAAAAATAGGTAAATTTCCAATTGAGACGGAGTCTTTTAATAGTACCTGGAAGCAAGACTGATTAAGCCCTTTCTACTAATGCAAAAGTCGTCCTTTCAGACTGAAACCTAAAACAAAAGGCCCATGGGCCACATCGCTCACCGGAGTAACACTGGTGATGCTGTTCTTTACTTGTATACCTATTGTGGCCTCGCCCTCCGGGGAGTGAGGTAGAGAGGGGGGTCACAATAGTAACAATTTAGAATTTATACAACCCCAGGATATTCCCACATAAGTTTCAGCTTTTCTGGCCCAGTGGTTCTTTAGAAGAAGATTTAAAAAGTTTTTTTCCCTATATTTCTATGTAAGACTTTGATTCCCTATTGTGGCCCCGCCCAACCTCCTTGGGTCATAATTTGACGAATTTTGAATCTACACTACCCCAGGATGCTATCACATAAGATTCAAATTGGCCCAGTTCTTCTTGAGAAGTCAAAAATGTGAAAAGTTAAGAGATGAGCAAACAGACAGACAGACGGACGGACGGACGACGGAGAAAATATGATCAGAAAAGCTCACTTGAGCCTTGGGGTCAGGTGAGCTAAAAAGTGTTTAATTAAACATTTTATGCCCTGTCGAAGATAGGTGTAGGCCTTAGGATATATAGCTTTTACCCTGCTTTTCAGTCTGTCTGTCCCAAAAACCATGATCCATATCCATAACTTTTGATTGGCAGACTCCAAGGGTTTTTTTTATAATACAAATGTATATTCCTAGTGATTAGACATTTCTTAAGTTTTAACATACGAGGGCCGTTCAAAAATTACGCGAACTTGTTACATAGA